AAACATGAAGCCTGCTTTAGAAGCGGATATCAGGAACCCTGAGTTGGAGGCTTTCAACTGACAAACTGTAAAGAACATTGCCCCTTTTCAAAGAACTTAGTAATTCTCATTTGAGTGTAGCAGTTGTGAATTGTGTTATACAATATGAACTTTACAGTTAGGGCATTTTATGTGTTGGTGTTATCACCCAATGTGTTCTGATCCAGAGCATTGCTAAGTTTTATCATATGGAAATAAGGCTTTGGAATGTTAAAAAAGAGTTATTCTTACTGCTGGCCGAGGTATGGGTTTCTGAGGTTTCTTAGATCCAAGTTTCTTCATTGCATTGTAATATTTTTTCTGTTCCTCTGTCATAAAGATATCTTGACCTCCAAAGTAAAGACATAGTATAAAACTGGTTACAATTCCAGCATGTGGTATAATAGCACTTTTACAAAATATTTCTGAGTCTTTCCTTTAATCCTCTCTCAGTTTTTAAATGAATATTATCTGGCTTCATAAAGATTTATTCTGCTTTTCCCATTTATGTGAAACTCTGAATACTTTTTAATATTATGTAAAACCCATAATCACATAAAACTATGATTAGTACAGAATCTAATTTCATTGTATTATATTTAGAAGGAAGATCAGAGGTTTTGAGTATATTTTTATGAAAGAAAAAAATGTTTTCTTAGTCTCTTTCACTGTTGACAATTTTACTTCTTTATTCAACAATTTTCGAGAACTTCCTGTGTGCTAGACGATGTATCTAGTATCAGAATTGCATAGATATTTGACACAGTGTCTACATGGAAAAAAAAAAAGCACTACAGACACTGCAGAGATAATCATAAATTCCAAGACTCAGTAACGGTCTCTATATAGGAGACTACTCTTCAGCTATACCTTAAAGAATGATTAAGGGTTTGCTAAGCAAAGCATTCTAAGGAGAGAAAATATTCTATGTAAAGTCACGGACTTACAAAAACATGGCTTATTCAAGAAAGGACAGAACATCTAAGTAGCTGTGTGTGTAGCAAGTAATACTGTTGGTGGCTAGGTGGTGACTGAAGAAGGAAATGTAGCAAATGTGGTGTGGGAGAAAATGAATCTTGAAAACTAGGTGGAGATAATTCTTGAAAGGCTCTGTAAACAAGGATAAAGCATTGGAGGCCCACTGGATGTTTTGAAGCAGTGGTCACATATTCGAATTACTATAGCAGACCTGGAAAGGAGCCACTGACAAGGGAGGCTGGAATCATCTGCAGCTGAATCGACCATATAGTGAACGGAAAGAGTACCAAAATGACCTAAGTATGTCATGACTAAGAGTATCTGGTTATTTGGATATATAACATACAACCTCAGAATAGAGAAAGCCGAGAGCTGAGGATACTTATCTTCTTTTTCTGTTGGTTGAAGTTATCTATGATGACACCAATGAATAGATTCAGAGTGAAGAATGACCCAAAGATGATAAAGATGACAAAGTATAAATACATATACAGATTTTCTTCATATACAGGCTGAAGTTTAACCTAAGTAATATTGAAAATATTAAATATTTAAAAATACAATAAATACTTAAACTAAGTTAATTTGGTAAATGTTGTTACTTAATATAGACCTATTTTTGCCTTGCCCTGAGAGCATGTTCTGCAAAACAGTTCAATTCCAAATTAGTATGATGTAGTACAATGAAAGTTTGTAATTTTTATGATTGTTCTTGCATCTGTTTTCCCATTGTGGCTTACCTGTACATATTCTTTAGAGTAAATAGCAGTGGTGTAAATAAGACAAACATTTTGAGCCTATTATTAGTCTTCTTATAATTTTTTTTTTTGGTAATATTTTCAATTTGGGTTTGGGAATGCTGCCTCTTGGAGATATGGCTTTAATAAAATAACAGATATGTTCTGAGGAATTATTTTTATTCCTATTTTTAAATTTTAGTTCCCTGAAAGTTGCTTGCTTTATCATGATATTTTTGGGAGCTGCTTTACAAACTTTGGTTTATCATACTCTCC